GCATCCTAGAGAGAGTGAAACCAGGCTGCTCCTTGGAAGCAAGGATTCTGAGGCTTCATCTGACATACTTTGGGCATGTTGCAAGGAGTGACCAGTCCTTGGAGAGGGAAATCATGCTTGGGAGGGTGGAGGGACAGCGCAGGAGAGAAAAACTCTCGATAAAATGGATTGATTCAGTGACTGGGGTAATGGGGGTAGATGTGCAGAGACCAAAAGATTGGCACACGATAGAGTAGGGTTCAGAGCTGTTGTACGTAGGGCCACTATGAGTCGCAAGCGGCTCTATCACACACAACAACAACAACAACAATGAGCTATTAATGACACTTTAGCTTAGTGAGACTCATCATTTGATTTATAGAATTTTCAAATAATAATTTTGTGTAACTTTTTTATATAGGCGCATCAGAAAACCAATACCCTTTCAAAAAAAACCACAAACAAACAAAAAAAAAACCCAAACAACAAAACACCAAAAAAACCTTGCCTTGCTGTCCATGAATCATAACCTATCAAACCCCCTAAATTGAAAACTCTCCCTAAACCTAAGTCTAAAATGACACTCTCCTGGTGAGTGAGTGACCCACACACTTCCTTGACAGTGCTGTGGCTGCCCCAACCCCTAGGCTTGCTGCCTTCTCCTTTTATTACTTGTGAACTAACAGGTGTTACAGGCCACACCCAAGGGAAATGCCTCTTACACATGATCTGTTGTATTTCATCTGGATTGTTTTTGGTTTCTCAGATAATGGGGATCATGACATAGTTTCCACACTATACACACGTATTTTGGTGAGACACGATTCAGTCAGTCGACACCCTAGAAACACTGCTTAGTCCAGTGCCATTCTCACAGTCACTGCTATATAAATACATAGTTGGCAGCCTCTGCGTCAATCCATCTATTTGAGAATTTTCTTCTTTTTTGTAAATCATCTATTTGATCGAGCATGATGTCCTTCTCCAGGGACTGGTTTCTCCTGATAACATGTCCAAAGTACTTGGGACAAAATCTCACCATTCTTGTTTCCAAAGAGTATTCTGACTATACTTCTAAGGCAAATTTGTTAATTTTTTGTCATTTACTGGTGTATGTATACTATACATTGTGATCTTTCCTCCATATACCCTTATAAATCTTGCTACACTAAATCTACAAATAGGTAAAGAAGCTGGTAACTTCAAAGAGTTTGTTACTGTGTAGCAAATATGCTTTATTTAGAATGCATGTTTGGTAAAGTGAACAGAGCACTTCAAAGGCTTTTGAAGTTTTTATTTAGCAATATGAACTTTGATCCAAAGATTCCAGTCTAAGGATTTATGACACAAATTTAGTTGCTTATTGCATGGGAATATTAATTGCATTCTAGTTCATAATAATGGAGCTCTGGTCACCTATTGGATAGATGCACTACTAATGCAAAAGTCAGGATTCAGAGAGATGGGCACTCTCCTTCTGTGGGGTTTATAGCCTCAGAAAACTTGTTAGAGGATCAGCTAAGAGTTAGTTCCAATTTGGCAGCATAGAGTTGACTTTGTAATAGTAATAGCTTGGCCACAATCTAAAAGTCCATCTGTAAGATAAAGTTATTATATTTGCATACAGTGGAATATTATACTGCACTTAGGCTGAAAAAGGGTATCCAAGCAACTCTGCAACATTAAGTGTGAAAAGCAAGCAACAGAGAGCAGTGTATATAGAGCATTATTTTTTATTTTTAAAAAAGAGGTATCCATGTGTCTTAATGTATACAACATATATTGCAAAGAATATATTAGGAAATCCTAGTATTGTGTGCCTTTAGGATTGGGATAGATGCAGAGCAGGGATGGAGGGGACAATTATGTCTTACTTTGGCATAATACAGTTGAAGTTTTGCATTAATGCATTCTCAATTGTGTGTATGAGTGTTTGCATGTGCACGTGTGAAAAAAAGAAGAGAACGTTAAGCTCAACAGGGATAATGGGTTGTCAGCGGAGAAATGAAATAAAAATAAAAAATATTATACTTGGGGGCTGATATATGCATATTACTTAGGATGGTCTATTACAGAGCTCCACAAAAGATTTTATTTTTAAAAAATATAAATGTGCAAGGAGCTGGAGTCAGAAAATCAAAAGGGCTGAACTCGCTCAGCATTTCTTAAGCTCAAGGAACTGAAGAACAAAATCAAACCTTGAGTTTCTATAATTAAGAATGTTTTAGGCAGAATATTGAATGATCCAGGAAGTATTAAAAGAAGATCGAAAGAGTATACAGAGTCATTGTACTGAAAGAATTTGGCAGACACAGAAGAATTTAATGAAACAATATATGAGCAAGAGCCTATCTATGGTGATGAAGGAAGAAGTTCAAGCTGCTTTGAAGGAATTAGCAAAAAATAAGCCCCCAGGAATAGATGGTATATCAATTAACATATTTCAACTAATAGTTGCTGTCCTGGATGTGCTCACCAAGTTGTGCCAGGAAATCTGGAGGTCAACCACTTGCCCAACTGATTGGAAGAAATCTTTACTTGTTTCCATTCCAAGAAAAAGTGACCCAACAGAGTCATTCACATTACATGCAAGCAAGAATCTGCTGAAGATGATAAAAAAATGACTGGAATAGCAGAGAACCGCCAGAAGTCAAGGCTGGATTTAGGAGGGTTCGTGGTACTACGGATATTGTAGCTAATGTTAGATGGATCTTTGCTGAAGGCAGGGAGTACCAGAGTAATATCTATCTGAGTTTCATTGATTATGCAAAGGCATTTGACTGTGTGGATCATAACAAATGGTGGCTGACTCTGAGAAGAAGGGAATACCAGAACATTAGATCGGGCTGATGCGAAACCTATACTTACACCAGGAGGCAGTCATCAGAACAGAGTAAGGAAATACTGCATGGTTCAAAATTGGGAAGGGTGTACGCCAGGGATGTGTCCTATCTACATAGCTTTTCAACCTATATGCAGAATAGATTATCCAGGAGCTGGGCTGTATGAGGAGAAGTGTGGCATCAGGATTGGTGGAAGATCCATCCACAATCTGTGTTATGTAGATGACGCAACACTGCTTGCTGAAACTGAGGAAGACCTGAAGTGCTTGTTGCTTCAAGCAGAGGGTCAAGAACTGCAGCCCTCAATATGGATTGAGGCTCATATCAAGAAGACAAAGATAGATTATCACCACTGGGCCAATTGACAGCATCAGTATGGATGGTGAAAAGATTGAGATTGTTCACAGTTTTAGTTTGCTTGGCTCCACAGTCAACATTCTTGGCACCAGCAGCCAGAAAATTAAAAGATGTATTGTTATGGGAAAGCCTGCTGTTCGGGACCTCTCCAAAGTACTAAAGAGCAATGGTGTCTCTCTGGAGACCAAGGTGCATCTGATACAGGCCATTGTCTTTGCAATCACTTGTTATGCATCAGAGAGTTGGACAATGACTAG